ACCAAATACAGGAATCTGAAACTTCGCGTAATCAAACACCAAAATGCGCTCGATAACCCCAAAATATGACAAATTTGCAAATTTCGGATTTAAGTCATTCGCACTTGATATGTGCATAGCTTCAGCTACCAAGGTAACACCACTATTTTGCATAGTACTTTTATCATCCTGTTCTTTGGTATAAAATGTGTATCCATTAATTGCGTATGCGCTATAAGAAAGCACAATTACAGATGGACCATAGGCTAAACATCTCAACCTTTCTGTTACTGAAGCAGGATCTGAACGATACTTTGAATAAATATGATCTCTAAACCACGGTATGAAACTTCGATTGTGCTCTCGTACTATCCAGTTCTCATTTCTATTTGGATTTAAATCTCGGAGAACAACTTTGTGCATTTCAACAAACGGCTCAACCTCAATCTCATTGTGCAGAACATACAAGTGCACTTGATCCCGTTCGACCATTGATACTGTCACAACTTTATTTCCAATTAGCCTTTTTCCTTCTTTTTTTTCGACAATATGAGATTTGGGGAGTCCAATTGATTGAACATTTGACAGATATTCAGTACAAAACTCAACCGCTTCTTCAGCAACGTATCGCTCGGCAATACAACCCTCTGGTCGACTTCTGTTTTTCACGTACCCTTTTAATATTTTCATATAACGTTCAGCAGGGTACATCCATCTCATATAAGCTGGTCCGCACAGTTGTGTCTCTTTCACAAGATGAACGACTAGATGAACCATTATGTCAAAAAACGAGGGAGGAAAATACATTTCAAGATCACATAAAGTAACAACTATCTCATTTTGCAATGTTGGTAAGATCGCGGGATCGACCACCTTACTGCAAATAGACCTGAAGAAGAAACACAGCTTAGTTATTGCGCTTCTTACTTTTTCTGGCAGAATAGAACGTATACCTATTGGTAAAAAATGTTCCATTATAACATGGCAATCATGCGTCTTCAAACTCTTTAACTTGAGGTCTTTCATGGACACAAGTCTTCTAATATCTGAAGAGTAGCCTTCTGGAACTTTTACTTCACTGAGGAACTTACACAATGTTTTCTTCTCCTTTCTAGATAGAGTGTAAACAGCAGGTGGCAGATATGTTCGTCTTCCTTTCGTCACGGGCCCCAATTCAGTTCTCATCCCCATGTTTACCATGTCATTCCTTATGTTAACGCCATCCTTAGACTTTCCTTGTATATTGAGTAGCGTACCTATAACGCTGTCAAATACATTTTTTTCAATATGCATAACATCCAGGAAATGTCTTACGTACAACGACTTCCAATATGGAAGTTCAAAGAAAATTGACTTCTTCTTCCACCCACCCTTGACAATTGAATGTGCAAAAGGCTTGCCAAACTGAGTGCTCACATCTTTCACCTTTTCAAAAATTTGATCACCTGACAAAAAAGGCGGGGCTGTACGATGTTCGGCCTCTCCATTGAATGCTTTTCTCCACCCACGGTAGTGATGATTAGAATTTAAGAATCTACGATGGCCGAGAAAGACATTCTTCTGACAAAGCGCCAATCGTGTCGTATCGGTTTCATCTTCACAAACAGGACACGCCTTTTGACCCTTGTTGCTGTACCCGGATAGATTTCCGTATGCTGGAAAATCATTAATTGTTCCAAACAACATCGCCCTCAAGTTGAAACTTTCTTTCCTATACCCATCGTAAACCTCCACACCTCTCTCCCACAAAAACTTTAAATCTTCGATTAAGGGTGCCAAGTATACGTCTATGTCATTCCCTGGTTGTTTAGGCCCAGAAATTAGCATAGATAACATCATGTACTTACGCTTCATACATAGCCACGGAGGTAAGTTATAAATCATAAGAATCACAGGCCATGTGCTATGCGAGATACTTTGAATACCATGCGGGTTCATTCCATCAGTAGACAATGACAACCGAAGGTTTCTTGCTTCTTTTCCAAATTCAGGATATTCAGTATCAACTTTACTCCATTGTGGTGAGTCTGCCGGATGTCGCAACTTTCCATCAATAATTCTTTCATCTGCATGCCAAGTCAAGTGTCTTGAATCGGTCTCACTACGATACATGCGTCTAAATCTCGGAATTATAGGAAAATACCATAAGACTTTAGCAGGAGACAACTTTTTCTTATATCGAGGGGCACCACATTTAGGACACTCATTCAACGCTGCATACTCGTTTCGAAACAAAACGCAATCGTTTGGACATGCATGTATCTTATCATAGCTCATTCCAATAGAAGACAACATCTTTTTGGCTTCATACGTTCGATTGGGAAGAACATTATCCTCTGGTAGCATATCTTTCATAAGGGCTAATAACTCTGTGAAACTTTTATCCGACCATCCATTGTCCGCCTTTAAGTTGTACAACTTTAACACCGCAGACAATCTTGTGAATTTTGAACAACCAACATACAACGGTTTCTCTGCATCGCTTACCAACCTCTCAAACATTTTGGGACAATCCACAAGATCTTCTTCAAGCGCTTCTGCAATCTCTTCGACTCGATCACAATCGTATGTGTCTGTGCAATCGTCGTTTGAAGCATACTTCCTATTACAACTCGACTCAGCATTCCCGGTACTTTTCTCACCATGCATTGTCCAACATGTATAACTTCTATCAATTCCAAACCGTAGTAAATGAGATCCCAACTGATTCCCGTCAACCTTACCCCCGGCATAACAGCAACCCAAGCAAGGACACGGCATTCGAAGCGGGTCTTTGGAGTGCGCAACCGCAAACTCAACAAATTCCCATACCCCTTTCTCGTACTCTTTCGACAATCGGTTTGAATTCATCCATGTCTTATCCATGTCTTAATTAAGCTAAACAAAAACGGTCAAACTTTCACTCTTCACAAGTAACCCCTATGGCGAATTCAATTCACAAAGTTAGTAAGTACCTCACTTAACGATAAACGAAATTAAAGAGTTACTGAGAGGATCGGAAATTAATTTTAATAAATAACTAATAAAATAAAATAAAATAAATATATAAAATTACTAAAAAAAAACCTTAATTTTAACTCCAAAATAATTTAATAGACTTCACAACTTTAATATATAAGATATATGATTCACTCTAACCTAACTTTCACTTCAAATTTAGTATTTATTTCACCTATTTGTCATCATAATCTAACAACATGTTTCACACTAACCTAACTTTCACTTCAAATTTATAGAGTATTTCTTTCACCTATTTGTCATCATCTTAATTATTTAAATTCTATTAAGAACATGATACATAAAGGCCGAACATATGCTAACACTTGAATCAAAAAATTATGTTGCTTAAGAATCAGGACTAAAGATAATTTATAAACATCGACATTCTTCAACCAATGAGACGAGTTTCACACAAAGAACAAAACTATTAAAACTCACACAAAGTTCAAAACAGACTTCATAAACACAATAATATAAACCTTAGATTAGAACAATAAGCTTATTTAAGGAACTTTAAATATATAAACCTTAGTCTACATTGTTTGTTATGGGTGGGAAATAACAGTTTCATTACTACAGCAAATACATTCCCTCCCCATTCTTGATGTTGTTTTGGAAGGCATGTCCATGACTTTCATAACTGGAATTCCTAAATTGCACAGATTCAAGGCCATCCTATTACTTCCACTACTAATAGGGGTTAAGTTCTCTTCATCTATTTCTTTCCTATTGAAAAAAGAATCATTTTTTCTACTCTTCATTATCACTTTTGTGATGCATAATCAATTAAATAAATTAACACAACACAACAAAATCTCAAAATTATCTAAGTTCCAATCTTACACATATTAGTAAGTACCAATTCTCTAAATTCCAATTCCACTACATTATAGCGCATTAAAAATATAACCACCTCTAATATAAACAAATTCCTTCTACTCCTAACAAATTAAAAAATAAACACTACCATTTTTCTATTAATGTCTTATGTAACTAATAATTAAAGTTTACAAAATTTCAACTTCTAAGGCACCAAACTAAAAAAAATTATCACATTATCACAATACAAACACAATACTTCAAACCAGAACATCAACTTAATAAAACAAACCAAAAACACATTATCACATTATCACAATATTATACTTCAAACTAAAACACCAACCTACAACAACACAAGATTACTTCAAGATTAATTTTTAAAAACAATGTTAAATCTTACTTAAGATTTAAGAGGAAGGAAGCAAGTTAGATGAAGAAGATGGACTTCTAAAAACCAGTTCGTGAAGGCCTCTGGAGGATTGAGATTACTTGAATGAGAGAGATTACTTAAGCAATTGAACGAGAGAAAGAAATTGTTCTCCTGGAATGCGAAAATATCAATTGGTTAGGGTAAACAAGAACAATGACATTAGTTTCTTTGACATTAGTTTGAAGAAACTGTTGAATGAAGAGTATAAAAATACACAAGTTTCCTTGACATCCATCACAAATGACTTACTTAGTGAAGCATCAAAAGATAGTGATACCTTAAATCTTGAGCGCTTTAGCTTGTTTGTTGTTGAAAACAATTGAAATGGATAGTGAAGAACACTGTAAAGATCATTTTCATTACTAGAAATTAGTAAACATGATTGTGCACATTGAGGTGAATAGCATAGAACAAACACAACAGTAGTTAGTAATCACGATTCTATGTCAATAGATTAGCACAATATCAAGAATTAGTTCTTATGTCAAGAATTAGCAATTCAATTCTATGAGGAATTTCTACGTACACCTAATGTGCAAATGTTATGTCTACAAATCTATGTTAAAATCTACATCACAAATTCACATAAACATTATCACAAACACATAATATGCATGCAGAAATTACTCAAGTATTCAACAAAACTATGAAAATCAAGTAATGTTACCTAAGATAATTTGTAGAAAATTGGAAGTTGGATGTTGTTGATGATGATAACAGGGAACCACGTTTGGACTTGACAAAGAGCTTTGAAGTAGGAGCGACGGAGATGGCTGAGGAAGTGACGGCAAGTGACGGTGACGGCAAGTGACGGAGCTTTGAACAAATGGAAATAGAAGAAGAATGGCGGCAGCAGTGAAGTAACGGTCGCGGAGATGAGGCAGAAGACGGATGGGGTTGGAAGTTCGTAACAGTACTGAGGTCTGGACTTTGGAATGAAGGTTGATGTGAGAAGACGGATGGGGTTTGTATAATTTTGTTTTTAAAAATTTTAATTTTAAAAAGGCTATGAAAGCGCTTTTGAAAAGCGCCTTAGTAGATGTAGCTATACCAGCGCTTTTAAGGGTAAAGCGCTCTTGTACCCCACCCCCTACCAGAGCGCTTTTGAAAAGCGCTCTCATACCCCCTTACCAAAGCGCTCTCATACCCCCTTACCAAAGCGCTTTTCAAAAGCGCTCTCATACCCCCCCTTACCAAAGCGCTTTTCAAAAGCGCTCTCATACCCCCCCTTACCAGAGCGCTTTTTAAAAGCGCTTTCATACCCCCCCCACTATAAGAGCGCTTTTTTAGCGTGTTTTTTAATTTTGTCTTTAGCGAAGCCTATGCCAGCGCTTTTCCTAAAAGCGCTTTCGTAGGGGTGCTGCTAAAAGCCAAATTTGGTATAGTGGAAGGAGAACCAACGTATTCGATCCATTTTCTCTGGACTTATGGGACCCATTCCACAACTTTCAACTCGCAACATCCGCCACCGGAACCACCAACGAGACGGCGGCTTTTGCCAACGCACACATTGACTGGAAGGAAACTCCGGAGGCACACGTGTTCAAGGCTGATCTTCCGGGGGTGAAGAAGGAAGAAGTGAAAGTTGAAATAGAAGAAGATCGTGTGCTCAAGATAAGCGGAGAGAGGAAAACTGAAAAGGAAGACAAGAACGATACATGGCATCGTGTTGAACGTAGTCAGGGATGTTTCCTCCGCCGTTTCAGGTTGCCGGAAAATGCGAAGGTTAATGATGTGAAGGCTGCTATGGAAAATGGTGTTCTTACTGTCACAGTTCCTAAAGAGGAGATTAAGAAGCCCGAAGCTAAACCCATTCAGATTACAGGCTGAGCCTTTTTGATGTTTCTGTCTCTTAATAAAAATGCTAGAATAAAATAAATAAAATAGTTGCGTGTATAGTTGAGTCCCAACTTTAGGAGATTCAGACATCTATGGACTCAGCTATAACAATAATGGTGTTGTAGTTTCTTATGTTCCCTTATGTTTAGTGTCTATGCAATGCAAAGAGCTTTTCTTGAGTATGTCAAAATTCAGCTGTATTTAACATGTTTGAACATTCTTATTATTGTTTGAAGCTCTCTTGATATTTGTGTGGTATATAACTTATTAATTTTAAGACTTCTTAAGTCTACAAATATTTAAAATTCAAGTACTTTTCTAATAACTCAACTAAATAATATTAGTGGTTTAAAATTAAAATAAAATTGAAGTGATTTAAATAGTGTTAAAATTAATTTATATAAAAATTATTTAATACTATATTATCTTTTAGGTATTATTTATGGAGAATGATGTCTTGTTATCTAACTTTCATTGATTAAAATTTTTCTTAAGAGAGTTAAAATCCACTTTCTTTTGTCCATTTTTTGTCCATTTTATCCTATAAATATAAGATGCTCTCTTGTGACATTATATGTGAAGGCTTCATATTTCATATTTCAAGAAGAAATTATGATTAAGATAAATTCAAAGACAAAAACACTTAAGGTTAAACAGAGTTCAGACAAAAACACTTAAGGTTAAACAGAGTTCTATGAAGTCTCTGACAATTTTCTGTCTTATAATTAGTTAGAATAGTTAGTTCTTATTTGAAATGTTAAATCAAACACTGAATCAAATAAGATATCTTAAAGCTTCAAAATTGTAAAAGAGAAGAAGTATGAAAGTTTGTTTGATCCTGTGTCTGAGTGATCAGTTAAATATAAAGATATAAGAGTAATTTTCGAATTGAAAAGGCAATTCACACACTCATAACATGTCTGAATTAGATTAAACACCTTAAAACCTCTAGTAAACCTATCGAGACTTATACGGAATTGGCCAATGTATTTTACACTGCTTAATTGATAAATGACTTAGTCCAATTGATTAGAGTAAGGAAAGGAACTCGTTAATCTATTATTAGAAATACTCTTAATTAAATAAATAACATAAATGTTCTAGGATTTCCTTTTTGGGATCAAGGTTTCCATCTTTTAAAAGCTCTTAATCGATTAACAATTAGTGTTAATCGATTAAGTCATTAAAAAATCCCGTGGATCTTTTCCTTTTTATGTTATTTATTTTCCTATAAATAGAGAATTCCTCGTCATTTTCATTTTACACCAGATATTGAGTTTAGAGCCACCCTTTCTCACTTTCTACTCTCTTCTACTTCATCTTATTCTAATTTTCACGAAATTGTCTTAGTGCTTTAAGAGTGAAAAATATTTGTTAGATCTTTTTGTTCTGGTGATGTGCTATTGTTTTAATTTACTCAATAGGGTGTTGTCTCTTGTGTAATATATTTAAAAGAAGTTTTTGTTTGGTTCTTGAGATTTACCATGTAAAATATTTGTTTTGATTCTTGATCTCATCTAGTTAAAAGCTTTCATTTGATTTGGAGATTATCTTTTTAAATTCTTTCATTTGGTTTGGAGATTATTCTATTAAAATGTCTTGTTTAGTTTGTGGGATTAGTCATTAAAAATCTTTATTTGATTGTAAGAAGGTTTGTAGGTATAAACGGTAAAAAGTTATATCTTTAGTGGAACTCTCAAGAGAAAATTCTTAGGAACATGAGTAGGAAATGGTTAACTCAAATCTGTATAAATATTTGGTGCATGATTTTTTTATTATCCCATTGTTTTTCATCACTTTATTTTCTCTACATTGTATTTCGTTTTCTTCATCTCACCGTCCTTATTTCTTTCATGTTCTTTGTGTGTTATATAAAAATAACTTAAAGATTTTTAAAAATCAAATTTTTAATAAACTGGTATCGTTTTTCAACCAATACAATTCAGATCTCTCTTGTGTTTGGAGTCAATTGACCAACAACTGACATAATATCTTAACAAGAGAATTTTCATGAATATACCTCTATTGTTTAATGGTAAAAGGTTTGATATATATGAAGAAAGAATTAAAATATTTTTTTATTCAACTGATTTTGATTTATGGAATTTTGTTTTGAATGGTCCATTTGTCTTTACTCATTTTATAAATAATGAAACAGTAGACAAACCAAGTTATTTGTGGACCATAGAAGAAAAGATAAAATTCGAGTTGGGTTTCAAATCAAGTACTTGGTGACCAATACCTTGAAAACTAGAAAGTCCTTTCATACTTTTAATTGTAGTACAATCAAAGAAGTGTTGGACACCCTTAAATGAATCCATAAAGTTTCAAATGAGATAGAAAATATATACGCATGTATCTAATAAAATTAAATACCAAGTACCAATAAGGGGAGGTTCTCAAATATTAGGTTTAATCTCAAAAAATTCACTTCTAACAGATGTATAAGATTCAAGAACTAGTAGTAGAAAACTAATAAATACTTGATTTTGATGATAGGAATTTTTTGATGAACTTTAGAAAAGATCAAAGAAAAATTAAATCATCATTAAGCTTAGAGAAGTAATTCAACTACTTAAGAATGAGGAAAAGAGATCAAATATTTCCAAAAGATCTTCATCATCCAAAGAAAAAGCGTCTTAAATCATCGCCAAATTTTTTGAACGAAAAAACAATCACCATATATGAAGGATTTTATGAAGATCCATCATCAGAAAAGTTGTATGAAGAATCCTATATAAAAAGCTCAATCAAACATAATAAAATCTTGATAAATCATATGAAGAAGTTGTAACAACAATTCAAACTACCACAATTCACCCCCATATTGTGTGTGGAGTCACATGTCCAATAATTGTCATAAGATCCAATCTCCTATTTAAAGACTAATCGTCTCAAGAGGAAGATGACTTTTTAACACTTCATTTAACAAAAGGACTTTCCTAACCACGCCTCCACCATTTAATGGTCATAGGTTTGAATTATGGAAATCTAGATTTAAAATTTTCATTCAAAGTTTTAATATTTAATTGTGGAAAACAATAATAAATGTTTTGTTTATCCCTACTCATTATGTTAATGGTAAAGTAGTAGATAAAACTAATTTTATGTGGATCGTAGAAGACAAGAGAAAGTTCGAAATTGATTTCAAAGCTAAAAATTTTTTGTCATATATTTAAGTGAAAATTAATTTCTTAATGTATTTAAAGGAAATGTGGGTCACACTTGAAATCATCTATAGAGTATCACCAAGCATCGAACAAGAAGGAATGAACACACGAGGTGAAACATCATATGAATGTGAAGTTTAATTTCACATATGGTATTCAAACTTTAGAAATTTAGTAAGCTATGTTAGAAATATCATCACTAAAAAATATATAAGAGTTAAGAACTTGAATCAGAATCTTGATCCAATCCTTACATCAGGAGATGACAATGTTTATAAGTTTCAAGAAAAATCCGAGAAGGAATAAAGCATCTAGAAACCTAATGAAATGAATCAACTTCATCAAAGAACTCTTTTGAATAAGAAGAAGAAAAATCAAATCTAGTAAACTGCATTGAAAGAACAATCTCTACGAAGAACGATTCTTGGAATATTAAACGTCAAATGGAGAAACCTCATCAAAAATAAAATATGAAGAAGATGTAGAAGTTTCATCAAGTGGAATCTTTAAAAGAAGAAATGAGAAAAAAAATCTCAACTAGCATTATCTTCAGAGACTCAACATCAAGGAGAGATCTTGAAGAATCAACCTCTAGTAGAATCTTCTTTGAAGAATCTTCATCCAACAAAGAAGATGAACATGTTTGCTTAAAATCTTCTCACGGAGAAGATAATTGTAAGCTAACAACTCTTTCATAAAAGTAATTTTTAGATTAAATGCTAAGATAATTGAGGAACATGATAAAATTTAAAAGCCTAACTTAGATCTTAAAGACCACATTAAATTTCGAGAGAATAGCAATGAAATGCTTAGATATGAAATGGCTAATCTTAGAAACCAAGCTAGTAAATCTGAGACTTTTGTCTCAATGAGAAAGGAAGTAAAAGACCATCATGAAACCCTAAGTAAATTTTCTAAGGGGAAATAAAACAAATATTTAATTTTATCAAATCAAAGACCTTCCTTGAATAAAATTGGATTAGAGTTTAAATCTATTAGATCACCTAGTAAAGGCTTTAATAAGAAGAAACTAAATTACATTGTTTATAAACTCTCTTATTGTGATAAGCTTGGACACCTAGAACCCTTTTGTTATGATAATCTAATAAGGTTTAAAGATAGAAATCTTAGACCTCTTAGAACTACTAACACACCATGACCCAAAAAGATTTTGGTACCAAAGGTGAAAATTTGCTTTGCAGGAACGTTTTGCCAATTTAAATGAAGCCTTATATGTATTAAGTAAATATGTGCAAATCAATATGTATACCATGAGTATACAAGATTTTACTTATGGTGTTTGATGATACTGATGCTTGTGATCCAAGTATGTTCATCGATAATGTATTTGAATGGGTGAGATCAAAACATTGTTAATTGAGGATGCTTTTAAACACTTATGATTTATAATTATTATTAACATCTTAGTAGGCTGTGGTGATAAATCAATGATAGATTTATCAACCATGTGGTTTGAACCAACTCTAGTACAACGATTTGCAGAGAAGGATTTACAACATTATTTTGTCGTTCCTTCAAAAGAGGGAGGTCTTACTCAAGTAAACTTGATATTAAAGGTGGTACACTTTTTAGAAGTAAAAAAATCAGAAAATATGATTAATCCTCTATATAAGTGGTTTAATATTTTCTGATCAATTAAAAATTATTATTCTTTATGAAATGTTTGAGTTCTTAGCATATTTTGAGAAATTGGTGAAATCTAGGCGAAAAGGGGGTGTCAAAAGCAGTATGTCAGAGCTAAATATCAACCCATGGACCAAAAGAGATAAAAAGATGGAAATAAGAAGGATGATCAATTAT